CCCAGCCGTACCTTCTTGAGCACTGCCCTCCCCTCCTTCCAAGATGAGCTGCTCATCGCGGGGCCAGGCAGAGGCAGCCCTGCCTGCATCTCGCCCACAGGCAGACGGATCCCTTTTCCCATTGCCGAGCCGCCGTCGGGCATATCTTTGGTTATCGGCAGTTTGAAAGCCAGCGGTATGTTTTGTGTTGATTTAGTCGTGTTTCATTTGGCCTTTGTAGGCGATGGGGAGCCAAGAGCATTAATTTGGATGACAGATCATATAAACTCTGACTCCTTCGCTCCCATTCCAGGGGCTTGATAAACGGTAATAGGAACTCTCTCTTCTCCGCGTAAGTGCTATTTTATCAAAAGCTGGCTGAGTTATAGCCAACCTTTAATGCGGGGGCAATTAGGAACTGGGCACTTTTCACAGGCTGGAGAGAGGCATGCAGGGGAGGGGATGGCTCCCGTGGGGAGGGGAGGAGGATGGGGCTCTCCAAGAGCCATCCAGTGTGCACGTAGCCTTGGCTGATAATGCCTTGGCGTTGGAGAGCATCTTCAGCTGGGACATCCCAGTGCCGTTCGAGCAGAGCTGAGTGAGGCTGAACTGAAGGGGAGAAAATCAGGGAGCACGGACGTGCCAGGGACTCTGTGTCAATCTGGAGGATGTGCCTATATTCCCCCATACTGGCAGGATGAAGGGGTTCTCTCTAGGATCCAGCATGGGGAGAGAAGAGGCTGCAGCCAAGGTCCAGCCCTGCCAAGCTGCAGAGGTGTGAGTGCCTGGGCACCTCCGTGTGCTGATAATGGATTTCTTCTCTCACTGAAGGGGACAAGAATAATCTCTCAGCTTCTGAGTACACCGAGCATTAATAACGATAATGCAGTAAAGCCTCATTAAATTGAGCCTCTGATAATCTACTTGCCCTATTATTAGGCTTAGCAGGATTGAGGCTTCTATTTTTATCAAAAATTGATGGTGAAAGGCTGGCTTCATTTGTGATTGATATTGTTTACTGCCCAGTTTCTAATTTCTGGTCAGTGTGGATGTTACACAGGTGGGTCTGGGCAAGAAAGGCAGTGCAGAATTAAGTGGTTATCGATTACAGGCAGATCCTACCAAACCTGCCTCTTATCCATCCAGAAAAGGCTGTCTCATCCGTCTGCTCAGCAAAGCGTGAGGGTGTATTTGGGATGGAGCTGGTGTAGATGAAGACCCTCTTTTCCCCAGCACTCTGCAGAGCATGGCAGGTTTCGGGCATCCCCAGCACAGCTCTTCCATTATTAAGCACTTCTTGGCCTCTGTTCAGCCTTTTTATTGCTGGGGTGAACCCAGCCTGGCATCCAGTATATCCCAAGCCAGATAATTTCAGGAAGCTTTCCTGCCCCCCTCTCCAGTGCCTTGCAGACGACCCTCAAGCTGCCTGCTCCCCACAGAGCATCTGGTCATCCCGCAGAGCCCGTCTTGATCTTCATTTGCCTTTGGCAATCTCACGCAGTGTGGTTGTCCCAGGTGTTCAGAGAACATCAGCACGTTATTCCCTTGCTGTCCAAGAAGCTGATGCCATTATTTCTGGTCACTTCCTGCAGCCTACAAATGATTTATAGCCAGCAGCCATCCTTTAACAGCAGCTGAGCTTTTGCATCATGATGTGATGTGGGGATGAGCTTGTTCTCAGTGTGTTGTGGTCCCTGGCAGCTGGGGCTCCCCAGGCACCCCGTACCTGGCTGTGTGCCGGTGCCTGCCAGGTATCCCACACCAGTGTTGGTGCCTTTTCACTTTAACCTCATGAAGGGTTTGGTAGGATCCTTATCAATCCCTCCAGCCTTGCCTTGTCGATTGATACAGAGCTATGTGCGCAGACACAGGCCGCCCAGGGGTGGTTTGCATGTGGCCAAGCCCTGGCAAGGAGCAGTACCCTGGACCCATCCCAATGACCGGCTGCATGCAGAATGCAGTCTCTCCTGGGTGGGATGGGTTGTCCATGGAGGTCCTGGCTGGCAGTGAGCACCAACAGAATCACCAGCATGGACGTCTGCCCTCCCCACTGTGCTTTAAGCATCTCAGTGAAAAAAACGCTGTCAAATCCAGGCAGTGACACTGGGGCTTCTTCTACTTAGTTTGGTTGGTGATTTCATCCCTCATGGCCAGGTCAGACTGAACTGAAGCCACGTTCCACGTTGGAAGCTGGCTGTGGCTTCTGTGCCCATGCCTGCAGGGAATGCTTGCCCATGGGGTTGCTGAGCAAGCTGTTTGCTTTCTGTTTCCCTTGCAGAAAAGTCCGTGCATTTCTCCTCCATCGCAGAGGCTCAGAAGCTGAGCGCGGAGCCGATGGCTGCCTCGTGCTGGCCGCCCGTCCTCTCCTACTCCCGGGATGTGATAAAAACCTCTCCCCAGGCAGAGCCCCACTTGTTTCAGTATAACCCGCCAGGCAAGTAAAAGCCACTGACTGAGTGGTGCGTGCCCTCTACCCTGACCTGGGGCTGAGGATGGAGGGTGTGGTTGAAGTCAGTATCACAGCAGTGCTCTTAAATCACTGCTCTTAAATCGGTGCAGCTTTTTGAGGGGAGTAAGAGAAGAGGGGTCAGCAGAAACCTGCTAACACCTTGCTTTGGCCTGCCACGGAGCTCCCTCGCTGCTAATGCAGTGGTCTGAGGGCACCAGTCAGGTCTCCCAGCTCTGGCCAGGGCAGGTTTAGGGATGTGGTGTGTTGCAGAACAGTGTGGGTGCTCCATATGCTGCTTTTACACAGGGTCAGGCAGGTTTCACCCTTCGCTGCGCTGTCCCTCTCTGGCTAGAGGGCAGACAAGTCGGGAGCAGCACATCCTCTGGCTGCACAGGGGACAAGGCAGTAATTTCAACTATTCCAGTCCTTTCCAAAATGATCGTGTGACTTGGATTCCAGTACAGGCTCATAGCCGGCCAGTTCATCACATCCAGCTCGTGCTCCCTCCCTTGCCCCTTTCCTCTCTGGTAGCTGCAGCCCTTCTGCCTGCCCTCGGTCTTGCTAACGCTTGTGTTTTCTACACAGGACACCCCATCCCACTAAACCTGCATGAGAGCTCTCGCTCAGGGCTGCAGAGACTAGCAAGCATCTCCAACCCTCCTCCCCTCATCTCCTCCACCAAGCACCCCTCGGTGCTAGAGAGACCCGTTGGATCCATTTCCCAGGTAGGGCATTGGGTGTGAGCAGTGGAGATGCCTTCCAGGGATGTCAGCAGCTCCTGACCTCTTCTCTTGCTCTGCAGGGCATGCCCATCCAGCTCCACGCACCCTACAGCTCTGAGCACGCCAAGGTCCCTGTTGGCTCCATCACCATGGGCCTGCCGCTGACCATGGATCCCAAGAAACTGGGTAAGGGACTGGGAGGTGAGTGGTTTCTTGGAGAGACTGGGAAGCACACTTGCATAGAGGAAAGAAGAGCACAGGACACGGCAATGAAGTGCAGAGAGACCTTCTAAAAGGATGGAAGGATTAGTCCATCAGGAAAGCAGAGACACACGGAGCTAAATTTCTGCAGTATAGGAAAGCAGCAACTCAGTCAGGGACACATCCCAGCCAATAAATACCCTCCAGCTAACACTGTGATCGAAGGAAGGAAATATATTGCTGCTCCCCAGGCTAGTAGGATAAAGAGTAAATGGCCTGAAGTGAACAAAGAAAGTGTTTAGTCTGCAGATCTAGAAATGTTTAACAGCAGGAGGGGATGAGTGAAGGACTAAGTTGAGGGAGGAGGAATACGGGCCCTATCCCTACTGTGCACAGGTCCTGTTATAAACCAGTGCTGGGTTTTCAGTGTCACCTCTGGTCCCCGTGCAGGCAGCACCAGGCAGTGCCTTCGCCAAGGTGAAGGAACAAGGCTTTGCTCACCACTAGTTGCGCATTCAGCTGATTGCTGCAGCCTTGGTGAAGTCCATCCCAAAGTGGTGGCGATGGCAAAGGAATTGGGGAGTTGCCAGTGCAGGGCTGGCAGAGATGAAAGCCTCGAGCAGCTGAAGGCTGTGCCCCCCTGCCCTGCACCTACACTGATACGTGGTTATTGTTTTCCAGTGCCTTTTCCTGGAGTAAAGCAGGAACAACTTTCTCCTAGAAGCCAGGCCAGTCAGCCAGAAAGTCTGGTTCTGCAGCCGTCCCAGGAGGGCTCCATCCTGCGGGGTGAGGAGCTGGAAGCGCGGGAAGTGGGATGGGAGGGATGCTGGTACTGCCAAGCCTGGTGAGCACCACACTGGCTGCAGCTGCCCCATGCTTTCAAGTTTGATTTCTGGGGTTGTGCCCAGCAGGAGGGATCTCTTCACCCCTTTTCGCCAGCGTTGTGACAGATAGGTCTGTACAATGTCTCAACGTCTCCCCAGATCAGGGTCTTGGGCTTTGATCTTGGTGGAGGTTTTGTGTTCAACCCACAAATCTGTTGCTTAAGACAAAGCAAGATCTGCTTAAATTCTATTAATTGTTTCTTTCAGGCTCTTCACTGTTGCTGGTGCAGCTAGGCAGGGACCACATTTTGTTTAAATATAGCCCTCCCATGTTTCTTTCCCCATTAGCTAGGCAGAAGAAAATAAATGCAAAGGTGTTGCTTTTAAGTGCAAATTCTGGTTTGTGAACCCCGCAACTAATGCAGTCAGAAGCCTGAGTGCAGTGGGCTGGCTGCAGCCCAGGACAGATCCACGCAAATGAACTCAAACCACCCTGAGCTGCATCTTGTTGGAGATCTGCTCTGATCCCATCAGGGGAGGCTGAGACAGGCTGTGCTTTCTCCCAGGCTCATAAATCTGCCTGGCCCCTCCACAAAGGCAGCAGGGAGCTGATAGCTTCAAAATGCCCATTTTTTCCTACCTCCCAGCCTGTGCTCGCAGGGCTGGGTCCCTTGGGGAATGGGGTGGAAAGGGCTCTGCAAGGCATGGGATTTAACACTGGAATCGCTTGGAGGGATTCCCCTCCAGAACCTAAGCTCACTTAGACTGGATCGAATCCTGCACTTAGTCAGTTGTCTCAGCCCCACAGTTTTTGTGCTGAGCAGCAAATCCAGCCCCCAGCTCACTGCCTTTGTGTCTTACAGGTACTTCCCTCAGCTCTGCCTCAGGAGGGAGCATCACCAAGGGAACACCAACATCCAGACCGCCTCCGGAGTCACCCATCACCTACCGAGGGTCCATCACACATGTAGGTCCCTTGTCTCTGGTGGGTTGTGCTTTCTGGGTGTTGGCGGCTGCAGCTTGTGCTGGACATGGGGACTGGGGGCTTGTGGGGTGCACTGAGTGCATGGCACAGGGCTGAGTAGCACAGGTCTGCAATGCTCCCATCCCATAGAGCCCCTCGGAGAGGTCTGTGGGCAGAGCCTTTGCAAACAGCTTCCACTCAGGATGGTATGAGCCCTGTCCCATGACCTGAGCCTGCAGGAGAGCAGAGCTCCACCAGCAGCGATGCTAGCTGGTAGCACATCTAAACCCCAGTTTGCTTTTCATAGCTGTCAGGAATAGAGGCAAAAGCAGCTTTACATGGCTCTGGGAAAATAATCTTGCCAGTGTAAGAAAGTGGAGCGGAGCAAAGGAGGAGGAGATGGGTGGAGAGCCCAGGCCATCCAGAGGAGAGGAGCAGGCTGTGAGGTACATGTAAGGTAGGGAGGTCTCCTGCCAGGGCTGAGCATGCTGCACTGAGGTCCTGCCCAAAGGCTCTCTTGAGCAGGAAGATACTTTGGCCTTAATCTCCACCATCCATCTTCTGAAGAGCAGCTGGCAAGCGGGAGGTAGTGTTTTGCAGTGTGAGTTATTGCTCACACGGTAACAGAGCGGAGAGCATTAACAACAAAAAAAATCCTTCTCCTGTGGGGATTTTATCTGGCCATCACTCAGATATTTAAAGCCACTCACGCTGAGATTTTTGCCTGCCTCCTTCAAGGAGGGTGGCCGTGTTCCCTTGGGCCCTGGGGACATGAACCTGAATCCTGGCCCAGAGCAAAGGCTTTGCTTGCCTGGTGCCCTGCATCCAGCAGCTGCCAGGAGCAGCTCCTCGGGGGCTGTAAATAACCCATCAGAGCAAACACATGCTTCATCCTCTTGTATGCCCCTGCAGCAGCTATGGGCAGCAGTGGGTGGGCAGGAAGGGTCTTGAGCACCACGTGCCAGCGTTCAGGAGTTGAGCAGTTTGTTGAGACACTGTTTTACATCCAGCTAATGAATCCATCTAGATTCCTTTGTTTGGCTTGAGATTAAGGTACCAAGCCCAGACCCAGGGCATTACCTGCCTCTCTTGCTGGCCCAGCAGCCTGCATCCCTCTGCTCCCACTGGGGAGAAGGAGCCCCCTGTTCCAGCAGCAGCTCCCAGAGCTGATATTTGATCTCACATTAGTCATCCAGTTCACGGAAAGCAGATCTTGAATATATGCTTTCTGCTCTGAAGCCATCTGTCATCACTTGCTTTCAAATCCCCCCTGAGCACGTCCACGGAAGGAAGATGACTTACCTGGGGCTGGGAGAGCCAGCTGGAAAAGCTGTTACCAGGTGTACCGCAAGGGTGAATTATCAGAGCATTGAACCTGGATGCTGGCATGTCCTGGTAGCTCTGGCAGGGTTTTGGAACTGCTCTAGGGCTTGGTACCAGCAGCATCTTCAAGCCAGAGTGGGGGAATAGCCTGTACTGGCACAACCTGGAAGCCCCAGCAAAGCTGGCTGGGGTATTGCTTCCCATGAGCATCATTCCTGGGGCTTGGTGGGGTTAAATGAGCAGAGTATGCAGGTGTCAGTCAAGAGCTTCTCTCTGACAGCATGGCTGTGTCTTCCCTGCAATGGGGTGCAGGACCATCACCCTACAGTGGCTGTTGTGGGTTGGCACCAGCAGGCGATGACAGAAGGGTGTTATCACCAGCAATATCTTCAAGGACATCCAGCTCTGGATTTTTTGAAGGGCATTAAAAGGGGAGCAGGTGTCTGTGAGCCGTGTCTGTGCGTGCCTCTGGAGAAAGAGAGGTTTCGGTTCACACCAGTTTGTGTAAGGAGCTGTTTCTATTGGAGAGCCAACCGGCAAGTTTTGCTCCCGGACCTGCTCCAGGACTGGTCTTGCTGATGCCTGTCATCTCACCCAGGCGTGCTGCCAGCACCAGCTCCCGTGTGCAGGCAGCACTCTGAAGGTCACTCCTGCTGCCAGCAGATGTGCCCCGGGCAGGCAGGACATCTCTGTGGCTCCTGTAGCAGGTTGGGGAAATTGGCTGCAGTGGGAAAAGTAGGCTGCAAATAGGAAAACCCTAACACTTGAGCAGTCCCTTTTGTCACCAGGATGTCCCCAGGAGGTGCCCTGTATTCCCAAACCCATGGGGTGGAAGCGATGCAGGTAGCTTACTCCAGAACATGCAGAGTGAAGAGTTGCTGCTTTGGAGGTCTGTGCTGTCCTCAGCCCCCCTGCCTCTTCCCAGCAGCCTCGCACAGATCACGTACCTCTTTACCGCTCCTCGTTATCATCCTCATCAATAATTGAGCTGCAGGTCCCTCGCTGTTGGCTGCGCCAGGAAGCGGAGGCTGGGACCGCTCGCGCCCCCCCCCGCCCCAC